AAAAAAACGGCAAGAAAATGTTTTTTACTTGAAGTTTGCATTGCCTGCACCTTATAAGATTGAAAATTTCCTTATTTCTATTAAAATTCAAATAACACATAAATATTTAGTTAGATTTTATCCTTGATAGAAGACAAGTGTCACACATATTTTCTTTTTCAGAATGAAGATATTGTATGATATTATTTTATCAAGAGATGTAATAAAATTTAAACAATTTTCTTTTGAATATAGGTAAAGCTATTAACAGACTTGTTAAAACATTGCCAAGTGTTCTTTTCAATCGTTTATGGATGTACTCACCTAGCGTCATTCAATAAAGAATACATGGAAGTGTTTTTTTTAATATTTTTGTTACTATGCGCCCTCCTTTCCTTATAACGAGGAAAGGAGGCTGAATAAATTTTATCGAATAGAATTTTTATACAAGCAAAAGAATTTATAGGTAGTTTAAACAGAACAGGTGATTTACAACAGAATGATTGAATTTACATTTTTTAGATAAGGAATTGATGAAAGTAAAACCCATAAAAGTATTATAGAAAATACGAGAAAAATAAAGAAAAATTCTTTAATTTATTCAATGGCACAATATTCAATAGTGAATATTAATAATTTTCTTGCAGACAGTGATGCTTATATTCAATCATGTTTTACACGTAGAAATGCACTTATAATTATGTCTGGTCTTATTATATTTTTTATTTTCTATTATATTTGGTTTAGTCATAGTGGAATGGTATTTATAAAATCATTAGATACAAGAATTTATTATTCAAAACTTCAAAAATTAGTTTCCTATGATGATAATAGTAAAATATTGAAGGATAAAGCTCAAGGACCATTAACATGTTTAATAATAATTCGTTCAGCTGATGGAGCTCTTGGTAATAGAATGTTTTTATTTGCAAGTGCTTATGGTATGGCTCGTCTTCATCAATGTCAACTTTATGTGGCACCATGGATTTTAGTTGATCTTCGATCAGTATTTCGTATTCAAATAAACGAAACAAAAGTTCAATTAACAACAGATGAATCAGTTGTTGTTAATCGAACTGATATTTTTAGTCGATATAGTTCTTGTAATTATTATCCTGATTTATTTCGAATTCCATACAATAAAACTTTTCAACGATATGAAATGAATGGATTTTATCAAGCTTGGGGTTATTTTCAAAAATATAAAGAAGAAGTTGCATTTTTATTTCAATTTAATCAAGCAGCAATTGTTAGAAATGTTGGATTAGTTGAACAACTCATCAAAGGTTAGAATCATTTATTTTCTATTTCACAAAAAATGACTCTTTAAATCAATATAGTTATACAGATATTTAATACAGATTTTACTGCTTATTAAGTCTATATTATTCAAAGTTAATCATGCAAATACTTTATTGATACAAGTCCTTTATACTTTCTTAAACATAGAAGTAGTGTTTATCGTTTACTTATTTATTCAGTCCTATTTTTATAGAACAAACATATGAATATACTTTCATCAGTTATACAACTCTATCAAAATCAAATCAAATACTACTAACATAAAATATGAGTTTTAAGAATTATAAGTTATGCCTAAATGAAATGATTAGTTTCGAATGATAAATTATTTACATTCTTATTGGTCTGTTGAACAAACTACATTGAACAGTTTAATAAATACTAAAATGAGACTCTATTCTTACAGTTTAGAGAACACAAAAAATGATTTATAACTTTCAAAACATGATCAAGGACACCACAATAATTAGAATACGAAATACAGATTAGTCAGAAAAAGAGAATAACTAAAATCAAAGAGTAAGGAGTTATATGAGATTAAGTATATTATAATATTTTTTTTTTAATTTAATATATATAAAATATTTAGCTGTTTGGAATATACCATTAAATCTGGGTAATTATACAAAAGATACTGTTCCACATTCATATTTAAAATCAATTTTAATTAATCCTCAACCACCATTAATGCCTGTAACTTGGATCGGTATTCATATTCGTCGTGGTGATTTTTTATCTTTTTTTAAAATTGATACAAGTATTGAATATCTTACATGGGCAATGAATTTTTATCGAAGAAAATATATTAATAGTCGATTTTTAATTGCAAGTGATGATAAAAAATATGTTCAAACACATTTTGGAAATTTATCCGATATTTTTGTAACACCATCAGGTTTTTTCTCAGGTGAAGATTTAGCTGCATTAGTTTTATGTGAACATACAATTGTTACAGCAGGAACTTATGGTTGGTGGGCAGCATGGTTAGCTGATGGTGATGTTATTCATGATCTTAATTATCCAGTACCATGGCAAAATTGTGTGAGAGACCATTATTTTCCACCTTGGTTTCTTTTTCCACATAATAGTTCAAGTAAAAAATGGCAAGCTCGAAAAAAATAAATTTTTATTCTCTGTTATTTACTAAATAACATTATTTGATCATAAGAAGTATTTTTCTCTTTTTTTCTTTCAATTTGTTAAATCTTAGTATTCAAAAGAGACTGTTTTTCATTTAACTAAATAAATTAATCTCAAACGATATTTAAATTAAGACAATAATAACCATTATGTGATGAAACGGTTGTGAGACTAATAAGAATATACATTCATTTCAACTTAATGCCTGCTTATATTCAATAAAGCCATTTAAATAAATAATTTCTTTCGCATACATACAAATTTTTTCTATTGAAAAAATTGCTTTTTCACATAATAACTCTTGCGTGATATACTGCATTGAATTCATTCATGAATAATTAATTAAAAAAAGCAAGAGAAATGAGATTGAAGAATAGAAAGAATTCCATTAGTAATAACTTTTACCAGTGAAAGAAAAAAGAAAAGACTATTAACTCTAGGAAAGAATAGAATTGAATATA